GAATGATTCGATGACACTTAACAACAACAACATAGTTTATATGTAATATATAGATATATTTTCTATTTACATGCAAATTATATTATTGTTAAGTGCCATCGAGTTGTTCCAACTCATAGCAACCCTGTATAGGATTTCCAAGGAGTAGTTGGTGTGTTTGAACCTCCAACCTTGTGGTTCTAACTGACCTTCCGGTCCAGCTACATTGAGTCCCCTAATTTAAATGTATACGCTGTGTATATATATACGCTGTGGCTTTTGTTGTTGTTAAGTGCCATAGAGTCGGTTCTGACTCAAAACAAACCTGTATGCATTTCCAAGGAGCAACTGTTCAATCTTTTCTCTTATTTATCATGAAGTTTTTTGTTACTCCAGTTGTAAAGATTTCTGTTTTCTTTACACTGAAGTACAATCCATACTGAAGGCTGCAGTCTTTGATTTTCATTAGTTTTAAATCATCTTCACTTCCTGCAAGTAAGGTTGTATCAGCTGCAAATCACAGGTTGTTAAGGAGTCTTCCTCCAATTTCGATGCCATGTTCTTCTTCATATAATCCATCTTCTCTGATTATTTGCTAAGCATAGAGATTGAATAGGTATGATGAAAGAATACAACCATGGCACACACATTTCCTGGTTCTAAACCATTCAGTATATTCTGTTCTAATAAACTGCCTTTTGGTCTATATACAGTTTTTTCATCAGCAGAGTCAAGTGCTCTGGAATAACCACTCTCCACAATATTATCAATGGCTTATCATGATCCACACAGTCAAAAAGCTTTGCGTAGTTCATAAAGTACAAGTAAACAATTTTCTGGTATTGTCTGTTTTCAAACAAGATCCATCTGATATCAGCAATGATAATGCTAGTTCCACATCGTCTTCGGAATCCAGCTTGAATTTCTGAGCGTTCCCTGTCGATGTCCTGTTGCAACTGTTTTTGAGTTATCTTCAACAGTATTTTACTTGCATGTGATATTAATAATATGATGTCCTCATTTTTTTAGGTCACCTCTATTTTGAATGGGCAGAAATATGGATCTATTCTGATCAGTTGACCTTACAAATTTCTGTGAAGGTAGTTACCTTCCAAATTTTTTAGTGATAAACATGACTGCTTGAACAAAGTTAAAAATGGAGTCTAAGCAGGACAAAGAAGTAGGAGAGAAAAAGGTCTTAGTGATCTCATTCTGGAAAAAGTTAAACCTCTGCCCTGCCATAAAGATAGCCATCATCGGATTGCAGGAACCAGTCAAAACAACTCTGGTTATAGCAATCTATGAGAAAGAAATACATTGTTCCTTTGTGTCTGTGAAATGTTATTTTGAAGTTAAGAAAAGTTAATCATTTTTCCAGCTGTAACTTCCCCTATATAATGTGCAGAGACTTTATATCTAGAAGGCGGCTTTGGGAAGCTATTCCCACTGTCTTCTAGATTAGTTGCTTTCTGCTAATAAAGCATCATGTTGGATCTCACTCTGTCTCTGTGATTGACTATAGTGACAGGTGGCAAGCCCTCCTTTGCCTGGCAACATTTCTGGCGATCATGAGGAACCTCACAAACTCCTTCCGTAAGTAGCCTTACTTTGCTGGCGAGCCCGCTAACCGCCTGGACTGTTGTCAGTAACCGAATGTTCCAAGCAGCGCTGCCAACACTGTTTTCTTGGGAGTCTTCAGTTCCGTGTCCCCAGCGCCCACCATCGCTTTCACTTTTGATCCACATGCTTTATTCTGGTAGTGCACATTGAGGCACTATGGCCAAGTTGCCTTTGAGTGTTTCTGCTGTTTTTAAAAGGTTAACCTCTGTGTGATGGGAGCCCAAATCTCTACTCAGAAAAAGAGTCCCTTGAGAAGAATTATGTCTGATTAGTGGAGTCCTGGTGTGGCACTGTGGGTTAATGCACTAGACTGCAAAGCTGTTTGAACTGCAAGGTCGGCGGTTCAAGCTCACCAGCTGCTCCTTGGAAACCCTATACAGGGTCTTTATGGATTGCAACTGATTCAGCAGCACTTCACAACAACAACAGTGCAACTATGGGTAGTCTTCTATTACTAAGAAAGAAATGATGTTTTATTGTAACACAGCCTGGCCTATGTACTATTTTGAATCTGGAGGAAAATGGACTTTAAATTAATCCTTAAATTATTTTACTATCTTGCAATTAGAGCTCTTTCATCAAAGATCAGAGAAATAGGATGGAATATCCTATGTACAAGCCTTTATTCATTGCATAACAGGAATGCTGGGGTAAAGGGAAATCCATTGATGGTTCAGAGAGGACCTAAAGAAAGGTGGGAAGAAGGGAGAAAAGAATCTCCATTAGCTTCTGGGGAAAGTTGCATAAATAGGGTAGACCAGGAAAACCTGGTTATACTGAATATTCCTCACCCAACTGCCTTTCCCTCCCCCCATAGTACCAGGAGCAACTGCTCCGGTCATTCCTGAAGAATGAAGACACCCTTATCATTTAGAAGAAGGATGCTTTGTAGTGGTCTCTCTGTCACATACCCAACAAGGGACCCAATTCGGACAGGGCCCACCTAGACTGAATCAAGGCCAACCCCACAGGATTTTACTGGGCCAATACCCATTTTCCACTTCAAAAGTGTTAAATTGGAAAAAAATTTGAATCCTCCTTATGGAACAGACCCTCCAAGGTCACAGACCTGGGTCAGCCTTATTTTTTGCCACTCACCATCCCAACTGGGCTGACATCCAAGCTTTATTACCTATGCTTTTGACTAGATGAGCATCAGTTGGTCTTGGATAAGGCTCAGGAAGAAGTTCAGCAGCTTCACAATGAAAATCCAAATGATACTGCTGACCTGGCTGCAGCTATTCCCTTAACCAAACCACACTGGAACCTGAATGATGGTGGCCTTCCTTTATTAAACCACTACAAGAAGTGTATTCTGGAAGGAATGAAGAAGGGAGTCCCCAAACAGAAGAGCCTGAATATGGTACAGGCAGTCCAGTAAAAAAACACCACTACCAAAGATCCTTCAGCATTTCTAGAGAGGGTATATGAGGCATACCATAAGTACACTGATCTGGACCCACAGACCCCTGACAATGTATGTATGATTAACACAACTTTCATTTCTCAAAGTACTCTAGACATTCAGAAGAAACTCCAGAAGTTGGATGGAGTGGTAGGAATGAATCCTTCTCAGTTAGTAGATATTGCCTTTAAAGTCTTCAACAACCAAGAGCATAGGAAGGCTCAGGCAGTAACCTGAGGCCTTGGTGGGGAACTCACCTTGAGGCAAGTAGTCTCAGAAACCACTAGAGAGAAACCAGTGCCCCCAGAGGAAAAGGGTCCCTAGGGAGGAGATCAACTACTAGGTTAGTCGACAGATGTTGGAGCAAGCTGCTTCTGAGAAGGATTGAGGGTTCCTGGAGCCCCATCATGAGCTATCACAAAATATTCTTATTTCCCCTCAGGAACCCTGGGCAAAATAACAGATTTTCTTGTGGATACTGGGGCTATGTATTCAGTGGTGAAGACCCCCCTCACCAGTCCTTCTGCTCAGTCAGTTTCTGTCACTGACGTCTCTGGACAGACGAAGCATATGTTTTTCTTGAAGTCTTTGGATGGCTCCAGTGGGGAAAAACAGATGACTCATTGCTTTCTTTACATGCCTGATTGTCCAGTCCCCCTTTTGGGACCGGATTTACCTTCCAAATTGAATGCCCAGATAACATTATTTCCTGAGACAAAAAGTCTACAGATGAAAGTTCCACATGAACATGCATGACAGCTGTGAGTTAAACCAACAGAAATAAGAGTCTGGATGGCCACCTTCGTGTGGGCCAGTGGAACTCCCGGCAGGGCCTGGTTGAGGTCTGGCTGAAACCCGGCCAGAATTCACTCCGGAAGAATCAATACCCCCTCAGAAAGGAAGTCTTAGAAGGCTAGCTTCCCTAATAGAAACATTTAGAAGTCATGGACTTATTTTATCATGTCAATTTCCATATAATAGTCCAATTCTCCCTGTCAAAAAGTCTGGTACAAGAGAATATCAGTTTGTCCATTGAGGTAGTTCAAGCTAGCTATCCTTTTTGAGGAGGCCCTTTCCCAGGACTTATTAATTCCTAAACTCAGCAAAGGGAGAATTTTGCAATATATGTATGGCCTACTGGTAACTGGGCAGCACTCTGAGGTCTCTTTAATGAACACTATGGAAGAGTCTAAATCATTGGTCCAGTGCACATATAAAGTCTCCAGATCAAAAGCTCAAATTTGCAAACAAAAGTTGGAATTCTTAGGGTTTCAAATTGAACCTGGCCAACATAGCTTATTAAAAAACAGGAAGGAACTCATCACCCAGACCCCAACTCCAACTACCTGGAGACAACTTTGGGGATTTTTAGGGATGACTGGGTTCTGTCACATCTGGATACCCATCTATGGACTGATAGTGACACTTCTGTGTGAGGCTCTTCAGGGCATGAAAATTGAACCATTGGACTGAACTGGGGATTGTAACATGGCTTTTCACTCCCTGAAAGAAATTTTGGCTTCTGCCATGACCTTGGGTCAGTCACCTGAATCTTTTAAAACCCTTTGTCCTGTTCGTGAAAGACAAGGAGTTGGGTTGGGGTGCTGATTCAATATGTGGGCCTGATACCCCAACCCATAGCATACCTCTACAATCAGTTGGACTTGGCGGCTTCTGGATGGTCCCCTTGCCTACAAGTTGTCATGGCTACTTGTGAATTACTGCAGGAAGCATAGACGTTCACCTTGGAGAAACCAGTAATCATTTGCATCCCTTTGTTGTAGTTGTTCTTGTTAAGTGCTGCCGAGTCAGTTCTGACCCAGAGTGACTCTATATAGGGTTTCCAAGGAGATGCTGGTGAGCTTGAACCGCTAACCTTGCAGTTCAAACGGCTTTGCAGTCTGGTGCATTAACCCACAACGCCACACCAGGACTCCATCAGATCCTAATTCTGCTTCAGCAGAAAGGAAATTTATGGTTAACTGCAGGGAGAAGGAACAAATATCAGGCTAGCCTCCTTGACAACCTTGGAGTTAATCTAAAGCTAGTGGCAGGCCTTAACCCAGCCACTCCACTCTTGAGCCAGAGTAAGAACCCCTAGTTCATAATTTTGTGGAGACAATAGACCAAGTATTCGTGAGTTGGTCCTTGATGTGGCAGACAGGCCACTATTTGTGAGTGGTAGCAGCTACATTGAACAAGGAATTCTCAGGGCAGGGTATGTGTGGTGGTAACGATAGAAGGCCCAGTGGAAGCTAGAGTCCTCTCTCTGGGAACTTCAGATCGAAAAGCCAAATTGATTGCACTCATGAGGGCTTTGGAGATGTCAGTAGGAAGGACTGTGAATGCATATACAGATTGGAAGTTCTCATGTCTCATTTTGCATGTACATTGGGATAGCTAGAAAGAGAAGGGTCTCTTAACAGCCAATCAGAAGGAAATAAAGTACAGATCAGGAATACTTTGGCTGCTAGCTGCTGTTCATCTGCTCACAATGGTTGCAGTCATGCACTGTCCCAGATACCAAAAAGGGACAACATCTCGAGAGGAAGTCAACCAAGAGGCCTGGTGAGAAGCTAAAACACCCATCCTGGACCCTCTGATTCCACATAGAAATCTAACTGAATACCAACTGAGATATGATGGGGCTGGTTTGGCCTGGACTGAGAAGAAGGGATTTCAGAGGAAAGAGGCAAACTGGCTGTTGAATGACCAAGGAATGCTGTTAGTACCCCATGGCCTAGCCTCATCAAACTAGTCTTATCAGACTAATCCATGAAATGATCCACTATGGAAAAGAAGCCCAGGCAGAATTTATTTGCCCTTGGCTCAAAGGGAAAGGATTGACTCAAATAGTACAGGAAGTCACTGCTTCATTTGTATAAAGAACCCTAAATCAGAAAATCAGAAAAAAGAACTACTTCAATAAGTACCATTGGACAAAACCCTTCTAAGATTGGCAAGTAGATTTTATCTAAATGTCTCCCAGACAAGGTTTCAAGTACCTTCTCATATTGATCGCCATCTTTTCCGGGTGGGTAGAAGCCTTTCCGTCTTGAACAGAGTGGGCTAGTGAAGTGGTAAAAGTGCTACTTAAGGAAATCATCCCTTAGTATGGTCTCCTTTTGAGCCTCCAGAGTGACAACGGGGCTTCCTTCATAGCCAAAGTCACTCAATATGTCAGCAAACACTTAGAAATAAAATGGAGATGGCACTCAGCCTGGACGCCCCAGTCATCAGGAGAAGTGGAGATGATAAATCACAACCTTAAGAAACAGATAGCCAAGTGTGTCAGGAAACCTACTTACACTGGGAACTGGTACTGCCCATACATAACTTTGCTCCATATGGGTAGCCCCCAGAAGCAGGCTAAAATTAAGCCTTATGAAATAGTGTCCAGTAGATCCTTCCAGACCACCTCCCTGCAACCGTCACCTGAAACAGAGCAGGATCTAAAGAGTCATAGCTATGTTCAACAGATCCAACAGGTTTGGCAGTCACTTACTGCTACAGGTAACCTGCATCCCTTCTGGTCGGGAAATCGAGGCCTGCTCAGGACATGGAAAGACAGCCCAGAAAGTCAGTTAGAAAAAAAGTGGGCTGGAAAGTACTCCTTACTACCTCGTTTTTTGTCAGATTAGCCAGACTCAAGCCCTCGATGCACCACACTTGGATCAAAGCATACCTATCAACAGAGAAAGGAGACTGGACAGCTGAATCTGTGGGGGACATCTGCCTTCGACTGTTAGTGATGTTTGTCTGAATCCTTTGCTTTCTTTTCTTCCAGCTGGGATTATCCCAAGACTTTGTTCCCTTCCAATGAGATGAAAAAATCTGGGTCTATTTGGCCCTAACTGTAATGAATGTAACTGATTTCTGCCTCTGGGGGAGCCTATGTAGAACAAACCTTTACTTCTTGATTATTTGGAGTATGTACCCCTTTAGAGTTAATCTGCAACTTAACTTTATTTGAACATATCCTGAAAAATATTCCCTATAAAGATATCTATAATTGGGGTCATGCCAAGTCAAAAATGTGCTCCACTTACTGGGTGTTCTCTGGACTGCTGATCCCTTGACATTTTCCTAAATTATTCAAAGACTGAGACTGTGTCCTATGCCAATGGGCACATCAAACTACCTTCAGGATGGTTTTTACTTTATAGATATAGGGCTTTCTCATATGTTCCTGCTAATGCCTCTTGGGACCCTTTTCTCTAGGACACCTTACCACCTTCCTGCCCTGGGTACAGGACTTAGATACTAAGAAAAGTTGAGTAAAAAGATGCTGAGCTATCTGCTGATTGCTGAAGCGATCTTCACCTGTTCAACACCACAGACTATGTGGCCTGTCCCTCTTTGTAATTCTGGCTATGGTCATAGTCCTAAACGTGGAAGTAAGTAGACTGGCATGCTCTATGGTCAAGACTTTGAATGTCACTTTTTCAAACAGTTAGTGCCTTAAGTGTAGAACTTGGGCAAGTGCAGGAAGTGGTTTGGGAAAGCTACTATTGCTTATCTACTTCTACGTCATAATCTTGAGTGTGAAGAATTCAAAGGAGTGTGTTGATTCAATTTATCTGACAACTCAGAACTAGTAGAACAAAAATGAAAGAATGCTAAGAAAGTTATACAGAATATCAGAGGCATGGATTTTTAAAAAATAAAGTCGAAGATTGATTTTCTTAGCTACCAAATTTAGTATGGTTATGCATATTAATGGACTCCTGATGTGGCACTATAGGATTGGCACTAGACTGTGAACTATGATATCAGCAGTTCAAACCCACCAGCTGCCGACTTGACAGCGCTTAACAACAACAACAACAATGCAAATTAATAGTAAGAACTGGATTTCAGGAATCTTAATTTGCTGCTGTGTATTCCTTCCATCTTTTCTTGATGCATTCTGCATCATTCAATAATTTGCCCAGAGAATCTTTCAATAACAAAAGTCGAGGCTTGGAATATTTTCTTCAGGTCCCCCAGCTTGAGAAATGCTGACTGTGTTCTTCCCTTTTGGTTTTCTAACTCAAAATCTTTGCATATTTTATTATAGTATTTGGTCTTATCTTCTCGAGCTGATCTTTGAAACTTTCTGTTCAGCTCTTAGACCTCTTCAATTCTTCCATTTGCTTTAGCTTCTCTAAGCTGGAGAGCAAGTTTCAGAGTCTCCTCTGACATCCATTTTGACCTTTTCCTTCTTTCTTGTCTTCTTAATGACTTTTTGCTCCCTT